CCATTATCATCAAGTTTTAAAAAAAAATTTATACTTTACTTTTTTTGTTTTGTTTTGTGTTTTTTTTTTCAGGGGGGTAAATTAGGTTTTATTTTATTTATTTATTTAATGGAGGTACCGGGGGTTGAACCCAGGATCTTGTCCGTGCTAAGTGCGCACTCTACCACTGAGCTATACCCTCCCTCCCATTATCATCAACTTTGCTTTATTTCATAATGAATATGCAAATAAGCTTAGCTTATGACTTAAGAAATACAAAGCTATATATGTATACATGTATATATATATACGTATAGCTATAAAATTACATATAAAATGATTGTGTGTTGGCTTTAGAAATTCTAAAACTTCAGAAATCTGAATGTAATTTTACTTCTAAGTTTTTTTCAAGTTTTAAATACAATCATTTTCAAAGAGCAGCATTTACAGTGGAATGTCCAAACTCCTCCTTAAAATGAACAGGGTGCAATGAGTTTTTAAAACAGTATTTTGCAAACTATTTTTTTGCCAGTTTAAAGATCTTAAACCCCCAGAATATAATAAAATGACATGATACAAAAGTATCACTCTGTTTGACCAGATAACCAAATGAGTTAAAAAGTTTCTTATAGTTGTTTTTAAAATATCTATCATACGACATATAAATTCATATTGGAAAACTCTTCTAATACAACTTCACATCTATCATCTCCTAATGCTAATTCACAATAAATTTGATACACAGTACGTTGTTGTCAGCAGCTAAAAGCAGCCAATTAGAATCTAATGATATTATGTAGAAAGTGTAATGCAAGCTGGAACTTGAACAGCTTTCTGGTTTGCACTGTTGAATTTGTACCATGAACTGGAGCCATTAAATGCAGCAGCTTCTACCATGATTTAAGTCACATCCTAAAAGAAATGTGCTTACTTATCAATGGCGCCAAAAGATTTACCCAAGAAATGCTGAAGCCACCTCTAAGAGAAAGAGAAATTCATTCTAACTTTAGCCTAGAGGCTGCTGATCTTTTAAACACATCAGTCTAATGGACAGACATCTACAGTGCCACTTATCTCTATAGTTCAACTATTTTTTTTCATTACTCTGGAATTCGTAAGAAATCTCAAACCTCCACTGTATCTCTGGGTGCGTATGTGTATGGATGTGTGTTGTTTTAGAAAAGTTATCCTTTCCGAAATAACATTTGGCCCCTCAAGTAAACTGATAAATATGTTTGCATTCTCTACCTTAATGTACTAGTCACCAGCTGAAACATACATCTATTTTCACTTCTGAAGGAACAAAAGGTTTCTCTAGAATAAGTGAAGATGAATCTGAAAAGTTATATATGGAGCCTTTCTCTTGCCATAGATGGATGGAGGTCCCTGGAGAGCTCTGTGTACTCCTCTGGAACTTGGTTCTGCATGCTGATTAGCTAGGAGGGTTCTCAGCGAAGGATCAAAACTCTAGTCTAAGAAAGACTGGCTTTCTGTAGTTTCAGCACGTAATATTCACACTGTGTTCTTTGAGGAATGTGGCTTGCATAAAGGTATGTGTATGTGCGCATGAAGAGGAAACACCTGCCACCAGAGCTTTAATGGACAAGCTTGAGAACCACTATACAAAACAAATGTACAAGAAAATCTTTACTGGTCAGGTGAACTTGGCCTCACAAAGAGTGATAAATATGAACTGAGAGATCATGTGATAGAAAGTAGATTTTCAGGAAAACTGCAATGGTGTTTATAGTATTTAGTTAGATGTTTAATCACTTCTGGTGTAAAGAGCTATTGACTTAGTGATAGATTACGGAATTACCTCTGAAAGAATGCAATCAATCACAAACCCCACATCCTTGCAGTGGTTAAAGTATCTTAACTGTCATACATTTATCATAAAGATATTTGTTTCTGGCTATTATAAATTAAATATGCATCAAAATGGTCCAATAATACTACAGATGTGTGAGTTACAACAAACCATTGAATATCACACTTGTTTCCTGAGTTCCCATTAGAGTTCATTTCTCAATTATTTTTCTCTAGGTCCTTCCAGGTCTTTAGACTCAGACCCAAGGCACAGTATGAACACTGACTACACATGAGGTATTTTGCACTCAGTCTGTACCACTCTCAGATTAGATATGGTTCTTCTTTTATGGCTGTACAAACTGTTCATGAGAAAGCTGAATAAGTATCTTATGATCACTCAGTTGGTTGTGGGCAGCAAGGACCAGATCCCAGGTCTACCAATGTATCATAAAATGGTTGCTTTTAACTACTACACTATGAAATTATTTCTTTATGGAAACTAATTTTAGGCTAGACAATAACTTCACAATCAGAAGGAAAATGCCAAAGTTGTAAGAAAATTTGGAAATCATTTAATCAAATGACCTACCACTAGAGTTATCCCTTGTACCATATCCCTAAGTAATAATCACCCAGTCTCTGCCTAAATAATCCCAGTGACAGATGGTCATTATTCCACTGTTAGTTTGTTTTTTTTTTTGGAGAGACACAGCATGTCCATTTATAAGAAAACAGTATTTCCAAAAACAACAACAACAAATCTTTCATATTCCCAAATTTCACCTACAAACTCACTGCAGTACCAGTAAATCTACAACATATAATTTGAAAATTATAAAACCAATTTTATAACTGATTTAGAAATAGAGAAAAACAAGAATAGCTTGGTACTATGGCAAATTAAAAAAAAAAAGGCTGGAGTGTTCCCCCAATCAGATTTTAAACTACAACATTTTGGGCTATGCGACAAAATTCAAAAAAAAGCCCCATCATGATTATATCTAATGCTAGAAGATACTCAGAGACAGCTTTAATTATCAGAAAGATTATTCTGTTGAGTGGAAATCTTTCTCCCAGAAACTCTTACTATTGGATCCTATTTCCAACCTCTGGAGAAAAGCTGGGTAGGTTTACTTTCTCTTCCACTGAGTGATGATACTATTTCCTAGAACAAAGGAGGAGATAAAAACTACTCCAAGAATTTAAAAAGTCCTATATACTAACTTCAAAGTTAAATTGTTCATTAATTTTTAACCTATATGTATTTAGGCTCCTATGCAATTAATTTTCCTAAGCCAGTTATGACACTCATGCATTCCAGAAATGAATACATCATTTGTTGTCATCTTTATTCCAGAAAGCAGAGATTCTAGTGAGTTCTTGGGATGACTTAGTAGTTAAAACAGATGAAGTATATTAAGCGTTCTAATGTATGGCTCTTTCAAGCTTGCAAAGTGAGTAGAACTTTCTTATCCTATAGGCTTTAAATTAACAGTCTGGAAAGTGGGGACAATTGGAAAACACACCCTTTACTGGTTAAACCTCTAGAAGTCTTTCAGCTACTAAAGTAAAATAAAAAAAGAATCAATAAATCAGTTTTTACTTGAGAGACAGCTGCTGTTTGTTTTTTTCCAAGGATATAATATCAATACATGGTGTATCCTGTGATTAATTTAAAAGTAGAGCAAATATTAAGTGTTAGAAACACTGTGTACAACATTCATCACAGACATGTTGGTTTTTCTATATGACAAATATTCACACCCAAAGAGAATCTTAAATGTGTTATGTTTTAAAAGTGAGACAACTCTTTGGTTGTAACCAATGATAGCCATTTAATATAAGCAAGAATTGGGGTAAATAATCTTATAGCAATATTTTTGTTTTAGATAATGATTTTTTTTACTCTGAATAAGTGAACAGCATAAATGTAATTGATGAGATTTCAATAAATACTGAGGTATCATTCTTTTTGTATTTTATAGCATTACTCACGGACAGGTTCACTGCTAATTATAATTTCATGTAATCTTTTTAGAAAGACATGGAGTGGAAAGAATAGAGAAGCTCTCATGAAACAAGGATTCCCCAAATTTTGCACAAGTTTTTCACTCACTGTTCCCAGCATCTGGTAGGAAATAAATACATATTAGCTATATCAATTAAGTTAAATTAATTGAATCAAGTAAATAAATTAAGAAATTAAAGCATACAGTCTAGTCTATGCATTCCTTGGACAGAAAAGGGTAACTTAAGCCTTTAAAATTTGCAGGTCTTTTTATTAATGTTTTAAAATTTCAACTAATTTCATAAAAAGGGTAGATTCAGAGCACTTGATTTCTCTCTTCATCTCATCTAGATTATTAAAATAATATCAAAACCATTTTCCTGTTTTTAGCTGAAAAAAACAAGATAGTGATAACCAGAACAATAAAAGTTATTGAGCTCTTACTTTGTGCCAGACACTGTTTTAATTGATTTGCATTAATTAACTCACTTAATCCCACAACAACCCTGTGAGGAAGGTAATATTATTATCACCAATTTTAAAGGAGGAAACTGAGGCACATGAAGTTAAATGACTTCTCTAGGGTCACAACTAGGAAGTGGATTCCAATCCAGGAAGCTGGTTCCCAGGTTCATCTCAGCCACAAAGCAATACCTTTTGTCATAAACGGCAGCGCTTAGCTCACAGCAGACTCTAAATCATTATTTTTCAAATACTCAGTCATGAAGGGAAAGAACAGTTCACCAGCAACTGTGTGCAAGAAGTGACGAAAGGTAACCAAGACCTTTTCCA